TTATACTTGCTGGAACTCCAGTATATTATGCTGGAGTTTTAGTGTACTTATGCTGGAACTCCAGTATAATATGCTGGAGTTCAAACATACTTATGCTAGAACTCCAATATAATATACTGGCGTATTTTTCGTGTTTTGAACAATGTTTTCGCTCAAATTTATCTTTACATGAAAAGTGGTTAAATTTCGATTACTTTTGAAACTGGACAATATTTGAATGACCGGTTGTAAATCTGACTATTTTTGAATTTCTCCCGATTGACCAGTCTGGGCAAGCAAGTGTGTAATTGGAATTAAAAAACTCTTGCCATGTATTATACGGGGCCCATAATTCATTTTAGAACGCAGCGGAGAGCTCAAAGCTAGCTCAAAGCTATAGATCACTAACCGTTCCTCGTCTTCTCCGCCCCTTTCAGGCCATTCTTCTTTCTCATATAAACCATATATAAGAGCTTTAACCAATTCCTCTAAACTACTTCGCTTCCCACTCCTAAATCACTCCTTTAATTCGGCATTTCCAATGGCGTCGCTTCTCCATTCCAAGTCCCCAGCTCTCTCATTCTCCTCCACAATCTCTTCTCCTTCTTCCCTCCGACGTTTCTCATCTTCCGCGGCGGCATTCCCAGCTCGCCAATACAAACTCCCCGCTGTCCAATCGAAAATCCGTGAGATCTTCATGCCTGCTCTCAGCTCTACCATGACCGAAGGCAAAATTGTCTCCTGGACTAAGTCCGAGGGTGACGTCCTCTCCAAAGGAGAATCTGTGGTGGTCGTCGAATCTGATAAAGCTGACATGGACGTAGAGACATTCTACGGTGGCATTCTCGCTGCTATCGTTGTCAATGAGGGCGAGACGGCTCCTGTTGGCGCTCCTATTGGGCTCTTGGCTGAGACTGAAGATGAAATTGCCGAAGCCAAGATTAGAGCCAAAGGCCAATCTGCTACTCCCAAACTAGAAACCTCTCCTGCTGCTACCACTACCAGTGATGCTGCTGCTGCTGCCCCCAAAGTTGCTGGACTGATTAAGATTGTCGCCACGCCTTATGCGAAGAAGTTAGCGAAGCAGCACAAAGTTGATATAAACAAAGTGACTGGGACTGGGGCATTTGGACGGATTACCCCGGAGGATGTCGAGAAGGCCGCAGGGATTACTAAAAGCATCCCCGCTGCCACTGCAGTAGCTGCTCCGATCCCGGCTGCGGCTGCTCCCGCAAAAGCGTCTCCAACTAGCTTTCCTGACATTCCAGGGTCGACCGTTGTTCCTTTCACCACAATGCAAATTACAGTATCAAAGAATATGATGGAGAGCCTCTCTGTTCCCACATTCCGTGTTGGATATCCAGTTAGTACGAACGCCCTTGATGCTCTGTATGAAAAGGTAAGTTCATCTATTTTGAGGCTAATATGTTGATACATCAAATGCTGTGGTTGGAATTTCATAGAAATGGCAAATGAACTGATACCTATTTGCATTTACATTCTGGGGCTTGTGACATGCTTTGAAATTCAATTAATAACAGGTCAAGCCAAAAGGCGTTACAATGACTGCACTGTTAGCTAAAGCTGCAGCAATGGCCCTGGCTCAACATCCAGTTGTGAACGCCACTTGTAAAGACGGAAAGAGCTTTACTTATAATAGCAGTATAAATATTGCTGTTGCTGTGGCAATTAATGGTGGATTGATCACCCCAGTGCTTCAGGATACTGACAAGGTAGCGTAATTACAATCTCTATTTCTAAATGAAGCAACATTCTCTTCGCATGGGTTGGTTATATTCACAATTGAGCTCGAGAAAGATGTAAAGTTTAGTGATATAAGGCTTATCATTTTGTTACCTTCGTGTAGTTGGATCTTTATCTATTGTCTCAAAAGTGGAAGGAATTGGTAGACAAGGCTAGGGCTAAGCAACTTCAGCCACACGAGTACAATTCAGGTAACAATTTGCTTTATTTGATTTGTTTGTCTTTAAATGTGTACCTCTGTAGCTAATTCATCCAGTGAGATTTTTGAATACTGACATTGAAATGTTTTGTTTTCAGGGACTTTCACGCTGTCCAACTTAGGCATGTTTGGTGTGGACAGATTTGATGCTATTCTTCCTCCCGGCCAGGTTAGAAATTAGATGTAGCATTTTCTTCTATTTCTGTTTACAAGTCATTCAGTTCTTAGGAAGTAGCAACTATTCTGAAACTGGGATAATGTTCAGGGGGCTATTATGGCTGTTGGAGCATCAAAACCAACTGTTGTCTCTGACTCTGAAGGTTTCTTCTCTGTCAAAAATAAGATGCTGGTATGTCTTGTATCCAGTTCCCGTGTTCAATCTGTTGCAAGTGCTAATTTCAATAATGAAAACAGTTGATGAAGTCAATCATGAAAAACATTTGTTTCTTCCTCTCTTTTGTTGGTCGGGTTAGAGAGTGTTTAGTTGGAGGAGATGAAAAATAACAAACAGTGCTCACTCTTATTTTATATAAGTTTCTCGCATAACTTGCATGACCCATCACAAAACTAAATTTGTTTAGTTTTGATCTAAATTGTGGTGAAGCCATTACTATATTTTCCCCTGGAATGTTGAAAGTTGGAAAACTGAACGTATTACATTCACCATCTGCTTATTGAGATCTAAGAAGCCTTGGCCTTCCTTCAGGTGATTGCAATAGAAAATCCTGTTACTTGTTTTTCTTCAAGGTTTGGCAGCTTTGAGAGGATTTTAATAATAACTGCTTTATCCTTGTATTTCTTTCTTCTATTTTGTGTCTCATATCTTGTTTCATTAATTAAATTCTTTTTCAATAAACTTCATTTGTTTGTCTTGTATATTGTTTTCACTTGTTAACTTCTAATTAAAATTCTGATTCTCTGAAAATCACACATTGAGTTTATGAAATACTGAAGTGTTATGAATGGGATATCCTCAGATCTATTACCCACATTCATCCTGACATAAGCCTGCTTTTTTTCTACTTCATTAGTTCATTCCTATTCTTATTTGTTGCATTACATAGTTGTCCTACATGAGTTGTAAAAGGGGGTCCATCAAGGTCTAAAACGTTCTTGGGCTACTCCACTCATAGCCTAAATGTGTTTGGTAGAGTGCTCAGTTTTTTTCACTAATTCCTTTATTTATCTAGTGATCATGGTCCATGGTCTGCTCCGCATTTGTGTAAATGTAAGATCAGTTCCTATACATGTGAAATCAGCGGCCTTATGATTGCATAATTTGTTACAACAACAGCTACACCTCAATCCCAAACAAGTTGGGGTCAGCGATATGGATCCTCACTTCTTTCTTCAAGCTCAACTCATATCATCATCATTACAAAAATAAAATAAAAGTGAAAGTGAACATAGTTGTAGTAAGTTAGGCTTATTGTTATTAGTTTTTGCGTCTTGTTGGAGCTGTGTCATGAGGATTCCATTTTGAGCGTGGTATATGCTGATTTAATTGTCGCTGTCTTGGCCCACTAGCCAATATATGTTTCGCCTTTTGACTGCTTAGGGAGAAAGCTTGACAACTTCTTTTTAAGAATTTTCTGTTGAACATATTGCTTAGCCCTCAAATCTTTCGTAGTTGGTGATTTGCTTGATTTCCGATCAACATTTCTTCTATAGAAATATTAGGAAACTTTCTGGTGTAGCACATTTGCTAATCTCTTACCTTTGGTTCCTTCACCTTGTCTCCTGCTGCTTGTCTCATAGTCCCGGAAGAATACTTAACTGCAACAATCTACATTTACAAATTAAGCAGTTTTAGAAGAGGGATAATACATAATTACCTCCTTGGGCTTATCTCACTTTGTCAGATGCACCCTTCTACTTTGCGGGGGTCCTATGACCTCGCCTAAATTAATTCGAAGTGAAATTATTACCACCCTAGATACTGATAACTAGATATAAGTCAGGACAGTGCATCCCACGCGTTGCCACGTTAATTCTACGTCTTTTTCTTTTTTTTTTTTTCAAATTATTTTGGTTTTCTTTTGCCATTGTTTTTATCATTTTCCTTCTTCATCGTGTCCCTTTGTTCAAGTACCCATTTTCGAAGTTACAATGATGAGATTGGTCTCGAGGAACACCAATCCCATATCCCTTTCTCCTGTATCCATTCCATGTCTTTGTGTTGGGTTTCTTTTGATGAATTTGGCTCTCTTTTTCTTTTTCTTTTTCTTTTTCTTCCCTATTTTCAGTCCTATTTCAGATTATTTCTTCTCCTTTCTCTCTTCCTATGTATCAAGCATGCAGACTTAATTAAAATAAAATAAAGGAGTTTAACCCTCTTTTTATTCACCTAAAACCTAGCTTTACAATCTCCGTCCACTGGATGCCTCCACCGCTGCTTCATCCGAGGAAGCCACAGAATCTCTTTTTCATTGAAACCACCATTTTATAGCCAGCTACTACCTTCAGCCTTCTCTTCACGATATAAATCTCACCTGAGAATGGATTGTTTTTTGGAAAACAAAATCATGGGATGTAGAATGGATTGTTTTTTGGAAAACAAAATCATGGGATGTCTATTACGTTGTGTTTTTTCTGGTTGAAGCTTCCTAAGCTTTTTCTTGAAACTGATGTAGTGGAGATGGTGGCAATCTAAGTGTTAGTGGATGTGATTTAGTGGGTGAATATGTGGTGTGTAACTTTCTTTTAAAAAAAAAAGAAATTCTGGTGGTTTGGTGGAAATGGAGGTGCTGAAGTGGTGGAGGAGGTACCTGTAATTAAAAGAAGAAGATAAGAAAGACACGAAAAGAAAAGGAAAACAATGAGAAGTAAAACAAAAAAGGAAGAAAAGTAAAAAATACATTTAATAAAATTTTTTGCAAAAATTAAATTTTTAATTTTCTTTTTTGATCCCCTCACTCTCTTTAAGCAAGTGATATACACTCTCCATGCCATGTGGCTTCGGAAGGGGGTTACAGGACCCCTGCGATGTATGAGGGTGCAATTGGTAAAGGAAGACAACCTCAATGGGGTAAATATGTATTATCCCTTTAGAAGACATAACACATGATTATTTTGCTAGTATGGCAGCAGTAATATCACCGGCAGTGGATATGAATGGAACGTGTGAGAGGGACAGTCAATCAGGTGTATGCGTAGAGAGTAACAGAGGAAAAGGGAAAGAGAATGAGCTGTACACAAAAGATAGGAAGGCTGAAGGAGTAGGAATATCTCATTCAAATGACCAGGACTTGGCTGTGGCCGATAACAGCAATTATGAAAGCTATAGACCTAACTTGTAACATGTGCCTCTCTCTTTCATAACATCAAATTAGAATAGCAGTATCGATGGTGACAACGACGACTATTTCAATGGAAACTCTTCTTGACATGGCACTGTTTTCCTCCCTTGTCTTTCCTTCCTTTTTTCTTTTCTTGCTTCTCTTTTCTATCTTTCTTTTCCCTTCCTCCTCCTTCCTGCCATTGAGTCAATGTGCCCTCCTTGGATTGATCTGTTGAATCGGTGTTCTGTCATGTCGACACCGGTCGCCAATGATATCTGGAGAATTCAAGCAACATAGGTTTTACCTTTAAATTACTTATGCCTAGTGTATGACAATGTGAAAGGTGACTAGGAGTGGCAAACAGGCGGGTCGGGTCGGATATGGTTCGGGTTGAAAACGGGTAATGAAAAAACGGATCAATTATCCGACCCGACCCATATTTAATACGGATAAAAATGGGTTAACCGGCGGATAATACGGGTTACCCATATTATCCATGACTTCTTGTATATGATCACTTTTGGGAGAATTCTTAGTCTCTCTAACTTGAGGAACCCCCAATTTGAGGCTTTACAAATGTAAAAGTTAGACCCATTGGTTATCCATTGGTTACTCATTGGTTATCCATTTTCTAAATGGATAATATGGTTCTTATCCATATTTGACCCGTTTTTAAAACGTTCATTATCCAACCCATTTTTTAGTGGATAATATGGGTGGTTAACTGTTTTCTTTGAACCATTTTGCCACCCCTAAAGGTGATTATAGTGAAACTAATATACAAAATAGAATGCAGTTTTATACTGAACTGATCGAGAGGTATATTGACAAGGTCCATTGGTATGAATGGGTGGAAATGAAAAAAATGTTTCTTCATGCTATGGCTATCTCCTTATATGCTTCTGTGGCTTTTCAAATTTTCACCTTTCTTTGGTGGCACAAGAGGAATATGCATAAGATGAAAAAATTTGGAGTAGCTATATAGTATTACGTGCTGCAGGACTTCTACAAATTTAGCAAGTAGTTGCTGTGTAAGAAGTTTGATTATCATTCATGAGGTTACCCAGAATGCAACAGGTTGGTCGAATTTTGCTTGGAAAAGTGCATAAGTTCTTTGAAATTGGTGATTCTGAGTGGTAGAACTTCCAGCAAAATGAAGTTCTCTTAAAGCTAAAGATGAAAAATGCCAGCAAGGTGAAGGTAAGTATGGTGTCATATAGATACATTCAGGATCTTTGAAAATCGGAACAGGATTCCTAGAAGATGCCTGGTCAAAATATGGTGATGATAAAGTGAACATCCCGGCTTTGTGAGAAAATAGAAATTGGTAGATGTCCTCTTATTTGAATTTCAGTTGAGATCAAAAGCAGAGAAGATTAAACTTCAAAGTGGGGTAGCGGCATCAAGAGAGCACACATTGTCTCTGGACTGATGCTCCCAGTTATAGGAACACATGCCTAGACCAGGGTCTTAGGACTGCCACTCCATCTCTGGTTAGACAATGTTTCTAGCAATTTGGACTCTTCTGGCAGATTTCTGAACCGAATGATACACAAAAATGGGTTGTGTCTAAGGTGGCTGAGGATACGCATAGTGGAACGATAATTGGACCCAGCTAGAGTCGAATTAACAGTTGGGGATTTTGACATAAGAGGTGCCTATCTGACCTGAACCAAAAGCAGATGAGTTGTGGTCACAAACATGGTAGAATGGTGTGAGTTCCGGCATCGATGATGTCAACCCTTTCATCCATCGGTATGCGAAGGGTCCAGGTATGTGAATGAGAGCCACGTGCTTGTTAGATCACCAAACACCAATAGTTTTTAATCAACCACGTCACCATATTTATGTGATGGAATTCTTATCATGGTAGGGATGGTAGGTATGCGAAGGGTCCACCAGGTATGCGAATGGGAGCCACGTGCTTGTTAGCTCACCAGTTATGTTTAAATCAACCACGTCACCATATTTATGTGATGGAATTCTTATCATGGTAGGGATGGTAGGTATGCGAAGGGTCCACCAGGTATGCGAATGGGAGCCACGTGCTTGTTAGATCACCAGTTATGTTTAAATCAACCACGTCACCATATTTATGTGATGGAACTCTTATCATGATAGGAATTAATGCGCCTCGTGATTAGTAGCTATATAAAGTTTGGGACCCAGTTGATTTCTGTGGCATAATGGTGTTTAATTCAGAACAATTAGACTGTTTCATGGCTAACAACTAATATCTTGTTTCATTTAGGAAATTTAGTGGCTTCTGTTGATCTGGAGCTGGACTTTTGTTTATGTTTTTCCGTTTTAGTATCGTGGGGTTTGTAGAGATAACTCGGTATATCTAAGGAGTAATGATGGAGTTAGTTAGGTGGCTCAGCTCACTAGTATTTGGGATTTTTTAATATAGAAATCTATTATTTGCTCTCACATTTTAGCTCCTTTGACTGGAAGCTACCAGAATAAAAAGAATTTTACTCCTCGGTTGCCTTCTTTTAATAATAATCACATGAAAAGTGAGGTGCATGTGCTGAATACTTGTTGTCTCAAATGTGGTTATGAGGCTTACTATGAATGCAGATCATGTGCCCCGTGATCGGATGATCATTTCTAGGGTGGATGGGTAGTGCTTAAACCTGTTTTAGTATATGTAAAGATATTCTCATTTTTTCTGTCATGTGCCTCCTCATCAGATAGTCCCACCAGGCATCGATGGATGGTAGTCCTTGGTCATCATCTATTTATGATTTTTTTTTTCTTCACATTGTTTTACAATAAAAACTACACCTCAATCCCAAATTAGTTGGTGTTGGATATGTGAATCCTTAACATTCATTTTGCTCTATTCTAATTGTTCCTTTCCAATAAATAATAAATTTTTAACATTACAAGTTCTGTGTTTTTCTAGAGACATACAGAACTTTTAACAAACTTAACTATACCAGCACAATTACGCCTTAATCTGTACTTGTTGGTATAGCCAATATACATCTTTTGTTTTCATGTATTCAGTCGTTCAATTATAGGTTTTCCAGATTTAACTTGTCCCTTTTTAACACCTTCAATCATCATAATTTTGCATCTATTGATGGCACTCTTGAAGGTTCTAAGTAGGACATGGTCAAATCATCTAAGGGACCTCCCATTTATCCCTTATGTGGTGTCCGAACACTATTTGCACCTTCTATTTCATGTGGTCATTTCTGATAAACCCTAATCTTGTATCATCATGCTGGTGTCCGAACACTATTTGCACCTTCTATTTCATGTGGTCATTTCTGATAAACCCTAATCTTGTATCATCATGCTGGTGTCCGAACACTATTTGCACCTTCTATTTCATGTGGTCATTTCTGATAAACCCTAATCTTGTATCATCATGCATCCATCTTAACATTAATTTTTACAATACTCGCCTTGTAGTAAGTGATGGCCATTAGTGGTGAGAAACACACTCCCATATAGTATTGGTAGTCTCCTCTATGTAGAGCTTGCCTCTCATTTGGAGAGGTATTTTCATATCCTATAGCATTCCTATAGGATTTTCTCAATTTTGGTCATACTTTTTTCAGTTATATATGTTACATGCGGAGTCTAGATATTTGAATTGTCTTCGATTAGACATCTGGTCCTGTCTAATTGCAGTTTTGACTCATCCTGTATATACATAAAGCTAGAAGATATAGCACTGTAGTCTTGTTGGTTCACCGATCTACATGCATCATCAGCCTATTTATTAATTGGTTATTCCTTGTGCTTGTACATTTCTTGGATATGTCCTATATCTCTGCTTCTTCAATGGAGTCTTCAATGTATAAAATTGCGTGACATAACGTTGTTAACCTAACCTCCTTATTATGTTATACAGGTGAATGTCACGGCAGACCACCGGATTATTTATGGTGCTGACTTGGCAGCCTTCCTTCAAACGTTCTCAAAGATTGTCGAGAACCCAGAGAGCTTGACAATGTAGATGCTTTCAATCAATAGCTTCTCACCGTTTTCTGCTATGTTGTACTAAAACATTCCGATTATATTGCATTCTTGAAATTTTTTGGAATGAAATAATAATATTTTTGCTGATTTTTGGATACTTTTGCCTGTTGCAAATTCTAAATATTAAACATGTTTAATGACTTAATCAAACCGGTAACGGTAGTGGGGTTAAATTTAATCTCATTTAGTTTATCGAGTTGGTAGGTGACGAAAACTGATGTTCATATTTTGAAATTGTAAGTATTGACGAAAACTAATAGTCATTCAAGGATTGATTTATGGAACAGGCAATGAAATGTATTAAAAAAAATTCCCATTCAGGTGATTCTAAGGACAATATAAGGTCAAATGCAAAGATTCCTTAGTTAATCTACAGTCCCAATCAGCGTAGTATCTGGAAAGATAACTTGATGGCCTTTGTACAATGAATGGATTCATGAAATTCTTCATTTGACACCTATTAGACATTGCAGGCAGTCAAAAATGTAAAAGCACAAGCACAAAGGAGATATACATGCATGAAGAATGTCATAGAGGTAAGAGCACAGCTACAGATGGATTATATCTGAACTTTCATAACTAAATGAGTTAAGAAGTTAACAAAGATGCTTAGGACAGAACTTTTGACTTGCTAATTTGGTTTCACATCCAATATCCACAAAATGCCAATTGGCTTAATACATAAAATCCTCCATAAACTTGGCTCAGTTAGCAACATACACACAAACTATATTTCTGTTGCGCCCGAACTACAACTTTCGGTGTCTATTACCAACATATTGTATCTTCAAGACTGTAACTTCTCGGAGAGACTTGAAATTAGGGTTCCGTAGCTCTTGATAAATCTACAATGCAAGAAAAGGACTCTGTCAAATAATTAGCAACAACACATGAACACTTATCCTCCTCTATATTTGCACAGGAATCTTCCTTCCCATAAGGAATCTCTCTCTTTCTATCTATATAAATATAAAGTAGGGAATGAAAAAGCTTAGGTGACACCTTTCTTTGGCCTTCACATTTATCTTTTTTGGGGTTTTTTTCCACCTCATTTTAATATAACTAGTCTCTCTACAGGTGCGTTGTACGTGAATTCCATATTATATATATATATATATATAATCACTCTTAGAATGCCAAGTTGCACGACGAAAAATTAACAAGTGTCAAATTTTAGGACAAACCTCCAATAAATTTGGAGATTCAAAAAATAATTTAAAATAGAAAAAAGTTCAAAAATTTAAACCTTCCAATTCAGTTTACAACAACATTGAGTTCCACGTTTGTTGGGCTATTTTTTGTTGATTTGTTAAAGAGATTTAGGGGTGGCCAAGATATTAATTCGTGAGCACATTATCCATTTGGACCTGACTGCAGAAGTCGTTGAAGCATTTAAAAGGTGAAAATCGTAGGACATCTGGAGAGTTATTTGCATTTCATCTTGAGGAAATATGCTTAGGATACGATGTTACATGGGATGGTAAGGCGATAAATTAATAATTGAACTGTTGTTTGAAAAGGCATGACTCTTCATTTCCATTTCATTCCTATTTTGCGAAAAAAAAGAAGTGGTAGGACAATGCCAAAATAAAAGTATGAATAACCCAATGACCTCGTACACAAGAGGTGCAAGGTCCTATTCTTCCACAAGTAAGAATTCTCTCTGGTACTGCAAGTTCAATTAAACTAATCCCAAATGTACTTTCTAAAACTACTTTTGGTACAAATTGCCAACCTAAAACTAGATTAATTTTTGGTACTAAAGCATAAATGTCATTTGTTGTTGCTTATTTCCAATCCAAGTAAAAGTATGAGATCACCAATCCAAGGTTATACTTCTTGAAATATAAAGTTTGTCAATGTATTCGATGATTGGAAGCGAAGCATCAATGTATCTTCTCATTTCTCTCTCTGCTGAATCATCTGAGACATTAGCAACAACAAGTAATTGATGAGGGAAACATTATTGGGTAGTATAAGGCCTTAATATATTATTGACAACACATAATTTTCCAGTTCAATGAAATCCTAGTATGATGAGCACCAACAGAGAAAGTAAATTAGTTACCGGTCTCATTTAGCTTCATCAGTAGTTGGTCCCTTGTTGGAAGAGCACACATACCAGCAGAGACAGCAGTTCTCACAGCCCATGTATGATAGGGTGCACAAACTTTTGCATACGCCATTGAAGCAGCTTCTTTCAGGGAATCGTCACTAAACAGAAAATATAAGGATTAGAGAGCTTATTTAAAATAAGAAAAAGGTATAAAACCCCCCTCAAACTATCCCCGTATTTCCAACTATACCCTTATTTTTCAAAGGGAGTCCTAATACCCCTTAAACTATTCTAAATTGGAATATATACCACATTAAGTGCTGAGGTGGCCAAGAGAGTGATAAGCAAAAAGAATTGTTAAAATATTAATTTTCCTGATTTTTCTCTTTTTTCTTTTATTTTCTTTTTCCTTTTCTTTTTCTTTCTCTTCTATTTCAACATCTCGCCTCCTACGTCTCCACCCATCTTTCACCACCTAATCGGACTTCTTTGACTCAATTTGCTGCCGTAAACCCCCAATTGCCGCCACCTTCTCTGCATGAAGGCACAATACCATCTTTCAGTCATGAACTCTAATTTTTCATCCTCACTTTTATTTTTTCTGTCGAAATATAATCAGATTTCAATTAGGAATTTCGCTCATCGTCATCATCGAAAAGACTACCCATTGTGCCACCACCTCTCCGGCTCCTTTTTGTCATTAAATATTCCCTTTTCACGAAAATCTTACCATTTTTCAGCTATCGAAGAATTTCACTAAACCCCAAATCCATCAGTGTAAAAAAGAAAGTACTCCAGTAACGTTTGAAAAAAAAATTCAATTAAAGAAAGGGAAAAAAAGATAAAAAGAAAATAAGTAGGACAGAATAGAGAAAAAGAAAAAGATAGTGATAAGAAAAGAAGAACCCGATATGGTTTTCTGATTATACTTGGACAGAGACGGCAAGTACGTTAAAAGAAGGAAAGGAAAAAGTACAAAAAATCTATATATATATATTATATTAAAGCAAGAAAGTTACCATATATAATTGACATTATGGTTAAGTCAAGTGACAAGTTAATAAATATCAATAGTATATGGTAACTTTATTTTATATTTGACTATTTTAGTTAAATACATACATATATATATATGTAGAATTTGAATTAAAAGATAATTTTGAATTTATAGATAAAGTTCTAAAATTCGAATTTAAATTAAAAATAATTTTTTTTATCATGTTATCATACTTAATTCGGTTAATGATCATATGAAATCATGTTAGGAACTTTTGTTATTTTTTATAATTATTTAAATACTACTTCGCCTCTAGGAAAAAAAAAAACTACTCCATATAACTATAAAACTATTTCACATTTAAAATCCTATAAATATAGTTCTTTGAAACATTGTAGCTAAATTTGAATAAAACGAAATTCTTTTAAAATAAATGTAATATATAGGGTACACGTCTGTGTTTATCTAAATAACAAAAAAGAGTTTACAAAACCAAATAAAAGATTACTTACATATATAATGAAGTAAACATACATGTTGGAGAAAGAAACATCACAAAATCAGTCAACATTAAAAAAAAGTTGTTTCTTTTTTCTTCTTGAAGAATATTTGTTTGAAGTGTCAATTTGCATAAATGGATATCGAACCCCTTTATTTAGCTGTAGTCAAGCCAATATTGCAAGGGTATAATATTTTTTTAGTTGGAGAATATTTGTTTTGAATCATTAAATTATATGAAAGATATTTTTTTCAAACTCAACAGGAGATAAATTGGTTTCTAATTGATAATTTCTATAGCGACTTTTAAGTGTAACAAAGAGTATATATAAAGAAAAAATTGGTATGACGTGAAATATTTTTTTTTAAGTGTAAACAAATTATTTCGAAAAATCTCTTTACTTTTTTAATTCAAAGATAGTAAAACGATAAGATTTTTTTAACATTAGTAGAGAGATTTAAAATTATTATAATATAAGTTATATCATGGATAAACTCAAAAAAAGGAATCTTATGGAATATTTACATAATATTCGACCATATTTATTGTTTACTTTTTATAGCTAATATAAATAGATGATATACCAACAACACACGATTATACACATATTATATATGGATTATATATAAATTACACATCATTCAATTTTTTAATTTAAGTGGTCGGGTGAGCACCTATTTAGGTTGATTAGATAAAGCCAAAAGAAAATATAAAATAATTTCAACCAAAGACAGATAATTTTTATTAAAACTCATCCTTTTATAGTGAAATAAATTAATTTTTTGTAACAACAGAAATAATGACATAAAAAATAAGATAAAAGAAAATAAATATTGAAAAAAATGTTAGAAAGATCTAAAAACGAGAAATAAAATATGACAACAAATTTCTTCTTATGTTTCATCTTTGTTGAGTATAAAAAATTTGAAAGTTAATCTCATCAATTTCAAATATATAATTTTTCAACTCAAATATATAGATTATAAGATAAGGATATTTTCGAATATTTTTTTTTAATTTACATTATGTGTCATTTTTAAAAAATCACTATTACTAACAAACTGATATGATATTCGAATTTAAATTGGAATGCAATTTGAGTAGTTTGCATTGAGGTTAAGCCAAGTATGATGTCGAAAAATAAACTACTTGACAACTTTAAGACAATATATGCAATGTTTTATAATAATTCAACTATTTTAACATTTAATGATTCAAAGAACAAATTTTTTGTATATATAGGATATTAAAAATTCAAATTTTGGGGCTAGAGATATCGATAAACTTACAGTGGAGTCATACTGAAATAAATCCGGCCAAAGAATCATTTAAATTTTAGATAGCCGATTAAAATAAATTTTAAATTAAGGATAATATCTTCACTTGCATCATTATAAAGATAACCATTATTCTAATACATATAAAGTTTTAGAAATTGAAATTTCGAAATAGAAATATTTTTTGAAAGATAAAATCATACCAAATAAGAGTTCAAGTCGTAGTATGAGAGTCACGTCGTAATCAAAGAATCATTTATATCGTGTCAACCTTGTGCTTTGCCATAATATGAGTTATTTTTTCATTTTGTGGCTATTTTTAGGTTTCAATGACACCTATGAGAATAGTGTAAAAATAAAATTATCACTACGAGAATTGAGAAAATGTTAGTCTTTTTTCATGTAGTGTTTCTTAATTAATATCTGACAATTATCTATAATTATTTAGAAGGTTTAAATGTTAAGGTTATTTACATATAATTCAAATAACTCAAATATTTAACATGGTTAATGTCAAATATTAAATAAAAAAATTCACTAGGTAAAGAATTTTTATATTTTATATAGCCAACTAAAATGAGTTTTGAATTAAGAATAATATTTTCAATTACATTATTATAAAAATAATTATTGTTGAAAAATAATGTTATAGAAACTGAAATTTTAAGAAAGAAATATTTTTAAAGAGATATCAACACACCAAATAAGAGTTTAAGTAGTAGTAAAAGAATTAAGTCTTATCCAAAGAGTCATTCATTGTCTCAATATTTGATTGTTTTGCCATAAATATGAGTTATTATTTTGCTTCCTCACTATTTTTAGGATTCAATGACACCAGCAAGAATGATATCAAAAAAGAAAAATAGAAGAAATTGTTAACTTTTTCATGTAGTTAATATCCAATGATTATTTATATTTACTAAGAAAGTGTAAATTTTAAGATTATTTACATATAATCCAAATAACATAAATATTTGATATGATTAGTGTCTGCGTATCCGCGCGGATACTAATACTAGTGAAAAGAAAAAAAGGGAAAAGCATAGAAAATTAAAAACAATAATATCACGTGACACGGTGCGTGCAAATCACCGCCTAATACAGATTTGGGTGTAGCTTTTCAAAGTGGTATATATTTCGCTTTAAAATAGTTCAAGGAAATATTAAGACCCCATTAATAAATAAGCATGTAATTGAAAATATGGTGACAGTTCGAGGGGGATCTTATGCCTTTTAATTCCCTTGAAATAATATAAAGAAAAATGGATTAAAGGTAACAGATAAGCTTCAGGATAAAACAAACATTTAGAGAGAACTGAATGTAATCTCTAGAGAGAAATTGAAATCACATTGTCTACCTGAAAATATTAGACTCAACATTCTCAACATCTATGCACATCTCTAATAAACAAATTTGTAAAATGCCATTATTTACTTCTCACTTGGCAAATATCTATTTGCTTGTTGAACAATGTAAAAAAACCTTCATAACGATGAAAGGATCATCATTTACTTCATCTACAAGTGACAATATTTCGTACCTCTATTGTATTTCTGAAAAGTCAAAGTTAATTCACACATAGAGTAAAAACCTCCAAGATACGAAAAAATTAGGAGCAACTCTATTGTTGGAATTTCTCTTTCTACTTTCTCTAATTTCTTCTTAATCTCATCTCATTTACAAATTAAAACAAGTTTAGAAGAAAAGTGTAAAAAAAATTAGCGTAGTATTTAGATGATCTCAAAGTCTCATAAGTTTCAATTTCTGAATGGGTGTAGCTCTCGTCCACCAGTGAGTTCTTTTGATTCCAAAAAAGAAACAAGCAGCTTAGGAGTAAATTTGATAGCATGAAACTCTTTCATAATAATATAGATATATATACTAGATCTACCTGAATCCAGGGGCGGATTCATAAGTAAGATTATAAGGCACGTGAACACAGCTTGGTCTCTTTATAGAATTAGATATTTTATATACATATTTTCTAAAATTGGTATAATATTAATCGTTGGCACTCATGCTTCTAGATGGTAGAAATGGTGCACTTGGTTGAAGGTTAAATTATTTACCAAGAGGATTAGGGATCAATTCCCACATTAACACATCTTTTTCTCTTTCTTTTAGTAGTGCCCATGTACTAGATTTCCTGGATCCGCCTCTGGAAACAAATAACATTCGATGTCCGCCTCTGGAAACAAATAACATTCGATGTCAAGCACGGGCGGCAGATTTACAACAACAACAACAAACCCAGTGCAATCCACATATGGGGTCTAGGGAGGGTCATGTGTACACACCTTACCCCTACTTTATGAAGGAAGAGAGGTTTCCGATAGACCCTCGGAAGCAGGGGCGGATTTATAGCCCAATATATAGGCACGTGAACCCATGGTCTCTCCATCAAACTAGATATTTTATGCACATATTGTTTTAGAAATAATCTAATAATATCTGCTGGCACCATGCTCCAAAGAGGCTAAATGGTGCACTTGGTTGAATGTTGAGTTATTCACCTAGAGAAGCAAGGACCAATTCCCATTTAATACTTTCTTTGTGGTGCACCTATGTTATACAAATTCTAGATCCTTCCGTAGAGGAGCAGAGACCAATTCCCATTTAATACTTCCTTTTTTCTCCTTTTTTACTGGTGCGCCCATATTTTTTTACTGGTGCGCCCATATTATAAAAATTCTAAATCGCTGGAATCCAGTGATATTGTTATGCTTAAGTAAACGGTTGAATTTGAAACAATGGCAAATCCTTCTTCTTCTTCTTCTTTTTTCTAGTAAGAATTGAGTGCATAAACTAGTGTAAAAGTAAATAATAACAATAATTGGACATATTCCATAAAATAAGAACAAACTGAAAGGAAAAAGAAAGACAGCACACAATTGGATTATGCCAAAATTTATGCAAAAGCAAGAGGAATATCATTTCTATAAAAAGAAAGGAACAAAATACGTACTAGGTTGAAAGAAAATTCTGAAACAAGGCTCTGATAAGGTCTAGACCCTGGCGAACTCTGCGCAAATTGCGGGAAAGGCTTCCTGGTGTTCTAACTGTATCACTTCTAACATCATAATCAAGGATACTGTTCAAACTTCCAAATACTTCTGATGCTTCTGCAAGATCACGTACCTGAAAGTGACATTCATGCTTAAACGATAAGGTATGGTGGATTACTGGTATATACCAGAACCAAAAAGTTACATAGAATGAAGGAAAACTACCAGAAGAAAACAAAATCTCATACTGCATTTAATCGCCTAATGGTGGTAAGAAACTGTCCCAACAACAAATTAATCAATTAACTAGAGGTTCTCTTAATGTCACATATGTCCTTTAACAAGAAGCATTTTAACATATAATTGAACCCTCTATAACGACAAGACCCGAAAAGAGTAATAATAGCTTAGTCATGGCTCTTCAATGGCATATAGCTTGAATAAACTTATAGTGTAAAACACCAAAAGGATGCAACTGATTTATGAACTCGTGGCTTTAAGCCTTTGAAAATAATGTTCATGCACTAGGCAGCGGACAAGTTAATTGTCAAACAATATGCTTAAGAAGAACGTAATCCGAGATCAAAGGGGGAGCTAGGAAGGGATTTGAAAATCAATTCATCTTCGAGCAGTGAGGGAAATAATTGTTAAGTAAGATAGAAAAGAAAATACTTTCAGCAAAAAGGCATCAACACAAGAAAACAGAAGAGAACCATTTGGAATCTTTTGATGATAGCTATAAGCAAAAGTAAGTCCGCATAGTAAAGGGTAGAAGCGTAGAGCAAAGTTAGCAGAATGCTTTAAAGACAACATAATTATAGCTAGTCGTGGCAAAATGGTTAAAAGAAAACAGTTATCTACCTATATTATCCACTAAAAATGAGTTGTATAATGAACTTTTTGAAAACGATTCAAATATGGATAAGAACCATATTATACATTTAGAAAAATGGATAACCAATGGATAACTAATGCGCTTAACTTCTGCATTTGTAAAGCCTTAAATTGGAGGTTACTCAAGTTTGGGAGACGAGGAATTCTTCCAAAAATGATCATATTCTAGAAGTCGTGGATAATATTGATATCCATATTATCCGCCGGTTAATTAATTTTTTATCCGTATAAATATGGGTCAAGTTAGATAATCTATCTGTTTTTGTATTACCCGTTTTCGACACAACCCTTATCCGACCTGACCCGACTCAACTGTTTGCCACCCCTACATCTAGCAATGCCTATAAATTATGTCATTAGATCTGCTACAGGGAGTAAAATATCAAAAGAGCAAGATCAGCTTGTTATGACTTTGTTTTGTTAGTACATTATGAATAGTACTCCCTCCGTTCCAGTTTATGTGAACCTATTTTTTTTTTGGTCCATTCCAAAAAAAAATGATCCCTTTCTAAATTTGAAAACAATTTAGCTTAAACTTACAATTCTGCCCTTAATGAGAAGCTTTTATATCCACACAAATACTCTTGGTCCTTTTTAACTTGTTTAGGACCAAAAATTTCAAAAATCTTTATTTTTTATTAAATTTTGTGCCCAGTCAAACATGTTCACATGAATTGGAACGGAGGGAATGCTAAGAAGACTATGGTCACAATGCCATATCCACTTGAAGGGTACGTTATCATACTTCTCTCCTGTGAGTTTCTACCAACCAATCACCATTCTCAACTTCCAATCAGCTGACAAATTTATGTAATCTTTGCCAAATTCATTAAGAACTACAGGCGCAGATAGATCCTATTTGTGAAGTAGTTGCGCATTTGTTTTTATATCTCAAATGAGAGTCAAATTTTCTAATGAATTAGGTATCACGGTATGTACACTTACATCAAGATGTTTTGCGCAGTGCTTCCACGATTTTCCTGAACCATTTTATGGGAAAAAGAAGATTTTTTATTTAAGTTAACATCTTAGAAATATAACTAATCATCCAATAAATGCTTCCTGAAAACTGAAGAGAATTAAGTTGATCTGTTAGACTCTGAGACACGAGCAGTGTAGAATAAAGTTCGAACTACGTAACCCTCACAGATATCCCTTTCAGAATAGCCATGACATAGGACCATTACTATGACTAGCACAAGAATTAGCTGATATTCTATACCGAATAAAGCCTTCCTTTCAGGCGTTGTTACAAAAATCAATAAATCCAAACTACGGATTTTATTTGTAGCTCGTGACCACTAATCTTCTTAAAGCAGCTTCATACAATTTTCTTTCAGGTCAAAAAGGTGGAGTAATAACGTTGACAACCAAGGTTTGTATCCAAAATTAATAGGTGACGCCAGGTGAATTCCTCCATCTGTCCAAGTATGTGGACATAATTACCCAATATATGTGCTACTAGGAAGAAGCACGTACACAATGGATCTGCTAAGGTGTGCATGAGCTGGCTCCGACAACTTTGTTATCAATTATTCTAAAAGGCTAACAAGAGAGGAGGTATTCCCAATTTTCTCTTATTTATCGGGAGTTCAGTTCACAGTCACTACTCACTAACATTTTTGCTTTCATATCGTAGGGTTAAAATAAACATAAATGCAACAGAGCAATATATCATAATATATTTGGCTTTTCTTTTGCAATCTCTCAGGGAAGTTGTGGCATATTCCACATTTGATTTAAAAATTATTATAGTCAGATCGCGCAGGTAGAATGCCAATTCTCATTACAGTGTGATGTAACAGCTAGGTTTTAAGTATTTATGGTGTTGAATAAACATGAGCATATAAACATTACCATAGGATAACAATCGTGGAGCCTCGCCGGGGGATACCATTTAGTTTTCATATCTGCTAAAAGACTCCTCTTATTTTCTTAATGATTTAAGGGGAAAATGAAATAAACATCCTCGGAAATGAAATAAACAGTTTATTCCTAGTTTCGCTAGATTGTAATTTAACAAATTTTATGTCATATTTGTATCTAAATAATATCCCCAATATTCTTGCATGTCTCAATAAAACATCTCCACAACCTATATGTTTCCATACTAACTCTTCCTCTTTTTTCTTTCGAAATGTGACAAAGAATGGATGAAAATTTAAAACAAGGAAAGTGAGAAAGACTAACCTTGGAGACATATTCAAGTTCTGCAAATTTAAAAGCGATCCCAAGGCATCCAAACAAAACAGAAACAAGGGAACAAGCGTCACAAAAAGGCTTCAGCCTTAGATCATCGTAGCCATTTGACTTTAAGCATGATGAAAGCTCCTCAAATGCCTCAGCTATTGCAGATAAAGGTGTCCCTGTCCCTGCATCTTCAAAACCATCATCCTCATCCATCGGAATTCTTGTAATCCTTGTGCTGCCTGCTTTCTTTGTCTCCCTTCACAATCAAGAACATGGTTTCATTTTCCAAAAATAAGCATTTATCTAAATGGAGAGTAACAAAAAAGAAAAAGGATCAGATATTCAAGATTTTGTTTTCGGTGTATCCACTGATAAAACGGAAGCATGCATACTTTTCTCTGCAATGTTGCCTCTTGTCTCTTCTTTTGAAAAGGGAGTAGAATTGGAGGGCCATTTTTCTTGGCTCTGCTAAGATTACGGTTAGTCCTCTAAACAACACTCACTATTTTATTACTCCTATGTATCTTGTATATGCACTCAATACTTATAATATATTGATTAAATGTAAAGAAATCACAGAGTGGAAGGGGACAGATCCGGGAAGGTAGCGAAGGTTTGCATATTCCATGTTGATGGAGTCAAACATCTATGTCGATATATTATTAGAAGGAGAAGAGAAAGCCTCAATGTTAAGCCAAGCCGCAGCCTCACAATAGACCATTTGGCAATTTATGACAAAGTGTAAATAGTTTTTTTTTTTTTTTTTTAATTTAATTTTTTTTTTTTTTTTTGAATTTAATTTTTAATTTATGTATTATGTATTGTTAATCATAAGTTAGTCTTTTTAGATTTGAATTTAAACATATTTGACTATTTTTTACGAAAACAATAATTTTTATATATTGAAAATTATTTATTCTGAAACTTATTTTATTTTTAATTGAAAAGTTGCTAACACATAATATAACTTCAAAATTATACTAAAATAATGATAGTGAAGAATGAGGTCAAGCCAAGTGTCATATAGAGAAAATGCTATTTCGTATTTTAAAGCTAAAATCTAACATATGTATATCTATATTATAGATTTATATAGGCAATTTGTAATGCTAAAAGTGTATTAGAAATTGAGAGCTAAAATGCACAAGTTTTAATATTCTTATTAGATTATATCATTTAGATATTTTGTATATATTTGAATTGATATAAAGCTTATTTGGATCGAGAGAAAAAAATATTTGAATTAATTAAAAGATAAAATACATTCTTCTCTCTTCCCCTATTTATATTGACCTCGGGGGTCATTATTCATTCACACATATATAATAATAAAATAATTACGGGCAACATCGTAAAACTATAAAAGTCAAAACTCTATATTAAAAATAAATAGAAGAAAGGTCGAATTGCTTATTCCATATAATGTAGAAAAAAATATTAAAATTATTGATACATGTTATACAAAATAATAAAAGATATATATTTTGAACACACAAAAATTAAAATTAGAATTAACTGTGAAATTATTTCAGTTATAGATTATAGATAAAATACTGAATTTAAGAAATAAAAGAAAGTAAGTAAATAATATTTAATATATTATTGATAAATTTAGACAATTGAAGAATGAAGCAACATGCAAGTGAAACCTAGTGGTAGTAAAGCTTGATATGAAGATAATATATTAAAATTTATCAAAATTATATTAATATGATGTTAGTCAAGCTTGATATGAATCCAAGTAGCATATTGAGAAAAAGAAAAAAAATATAGAATGATAAGACTTATTTAAATTTTAGATGAGAAAGTGGTCTTTTAATTATGATGAAATATTACAATAGATAATACCACGTAGTTAGAATCTTAGTAAAATCAAAATCAAAATCAAATAATATTAAACAATGAAAGAATTTCAAGTAAAGAATAAAAAAACTTTATCACAAGAAAAATAAAATTTTTTATTATAAAGTTATAGAGATAAAACTTATTTGAATTTGAGATGAGAAAGTATCTTTTAAATTTTGATGAGAAAATTCATACAAATAATAAAACATAACTAAAACCAGAATATATAAAGTAAAAAATAAACATCTATAAAAAAATGAATGAGTTTCAAGTAAAAGAGTAATAGATTAGTAATTAATATTAACTATGTCATATTAAAGGAGGTAATAAGTAAGAACATTAAATTTAAAGGAAAACTAATTAAAAAAATCACGTGATCGCAATCATACTGAGCAATGAATAAAGCAATAATGATAATCGAGGAATAAAAGGAGGAAAATAGTATAAAATATAAATAGATATGATTTATTATAAATTCAAATAAGAAAGCGTTTTTGAGTTATAATAACAAAAATTATGCATATGTAAAATATCACGTAACTTTAATCTTAATATATAAGTCAAAAACCAAAAATATTAGGCAATAGAAGAAGATCAAGCAATCATGCATAATTTTAAAACATAGTTGACTGTAATAATTAAATCTTTAAAATAAAAAATTTAATAAAAAGTCAAAGGAGAAGAAAAAAATTAGTTTCTAGGCATATAATACAAAAATATCAATTATTAAAAAAATGATAGATTTATAAATAATAAAGAACAAATTAATTTTATTTGGACGAATTCAAATGAAGATGTACAGTAAAAAAGTTTCAAAAAAAAGTTTTGGGAGTAAGAAAAATATATATTTATGTATACGGTAAAATCGGAGGGTCCAATTTTCGGTCACTACGACACTTCATAAGCACATTCCTATATGTTCGAGATTATGGTTGAGATTAACACCCGAGGGGTTATCGACGTCTAGCCTCGAGGCAGTGCAGGCTGATTAAGTTATGATGAAAAGGTGGGAGGCTTCCAAGGCACGCGGCTAGAGCTGACAAAGTCTAGTAGGCTAGCTCAGACCTGAATCAAGGCATTAAATGGCTGTACCAGCCCCATATCTTTTCAATAAATGCGTTTGTACCATGTTGGTATTCCCCCTGGTATATAAAGGGGATCCTTGTTATTTTGTAAACATCTGTTGCTCAATATTGAATACACAGAACATTCTCTCTGCTCTCTAACATATTCTCTTGGTCTCATTACTTTCATTTATTACCTATATTCATTGTGTTCCATTTATTGTTCTTCATTTATTGATTATTATTGGCCATAAAGAGCCATCATTGATTTTATTATAACTGTTAGTCATCCATCGACTACCCTCGGCGAGACATCAGACTCGACCATAGGCCCCGAATAAGCAGGCTCGAGGCCCCGATTGTCAGCCATTCGGTTTGGTTATCATCTTGTTTTCAAGCTCTTATCTCATTTCTAAGTCTTTCACATAGCATCAATTGCCTAACAACTAACATAAAAATAGATCACGTATTTTTAGAGCCACAAAATTAAATCTAATTGTAATTATCATTTTCAAGGTAAATAGTTTGGCGCCCACCGTGGGGCTAAAAATAATAGTGATTATTTTCTTACTGGTTTTACTACATAACGCAAGTTACCTTTCACACTTTTTCTTGTCCAAGATCTTTAATTTCAGGTCAAAATGTCTAACTCAGTATATGTATATGAAAACAATGGTCTTAAGGACCACGGGGAGAATGGTGTAGCTGTTCCAGGTATCGGCGCACCACCACTAAACCCTGGGGACGCTCCCGAGCCAATTCTCGCAGATGTAGTCTCACGCGATGCCCAGCACATCGATATAGGCTCCCACACTAACAGGAGCGTACGTCAAGGGGACCAACAAGAAGCTTAGAAAACCCCAACTAGGGAGAATGGGAGGTCAGCCTTCACGTTATTTTTTAAATGTTACAGGCACAACAACTGGCGATTGCTCTGCTGCAAAGTCACAAGAAAACTCCCAACACGGTAGCACCGAGGATGGCTCCCCCAGCCGAACAGGTACCAGAAAAATCAAGCAACAACGAGTCTGCATCCGACCCCGCCATCGTAAAGATGCTAGAGGACCTCACGAAGAGGATCGAGTCTGGCGAGAAGAAGATAGAAGCCAACGAAAAGAAAGTAGAGACCTACAACTCCAGGGTCGATCAAATTCCGGGCGCACCCCCGATTTTGAAAGGTGTAGATTCGAAGAAGTTTGTACAAAAACCATTCCCACAGGAAGCGGCCCCAAAAACCATTCCAAAGAAGTTCAGAATGCCGAGCTTCCGAAGTACAACGGAACCTCGGACCCCAACAAGCACGTCACTGCCTACACTTGTGCAGTGAAGGGCAACGACCTAAGGGACGATGAGATTGAGTCCGTCCTACTGAAAAAGTTCGGAGAGACGCTTTCAAAAGGGGCAAACTCGATAGATTCGGTAGGACGGACTTTTATAGATTCAGTAGGATGATGAGATTGAGTTCGATAGATCACAACCTGGCCCCAAACTCGATAGATTCATTTTTCATGCTAGCAGATTCTTTTATAAAGGCACATGCTGGTGCCATCAAAGTAGTTACAAGGAAATCCGACGTCTTCAAAATCAAGCAGAGGGAGAACAAAATCATGCGAGGGTTCGTGTCTTGCTTTCAAATGGAATGAATGGAATTACCACCCATCTTCGACGATTGGGCAGTGCAGGCCTTCACTCAAGGTTTGAATGAATGAAGCTCGGTGGCTTCGAAACAACTGAAACAGAATCTGGTTGAATACCCCGTCGTGACTTGGTCGGATGTTCACAACCGATATCAATCGAAGATCAAGGTCGAAGACGACCAACTAAGAGCCCCCTCGGGCTCGGTATATTCTAACAGGCTCCTGGCAAAGGAGTCAAAGCCGAACAAAGAGAGAAACCAACCATACACCGAAGATAGAAGAAATGCCCCAAGGAGCAACATGCCCCACAATGATTGAAGAATGGATCGAGGTTAGAACCCTCGGGGACTTGTCAGCAGAGCTGGATTCGATAGGCACACAGGGCCAACAGAGGCACCTCGCTTATCGGAATACAACTTCAATGTCGATGTTTCAGAATCGTATTCGCCATCAGTAAAATCAGAGACACCAGGTGGCCAAGGCCCGTGCAATCAGATCCTTCACAAAAGAACCATAACTTAGTGTGTGAAATTCACAACACGCACGACCATAGGATCGAGGATTGCCATCAACTCTGGGAAGAAGTAGCCCGACTACTCAGCAAAGGTCACCTCCGAGAATTCCTCAGCGACCGGGCCAAAAATCAGTTCCGGGAAAAAGAGGCGACCAAGAAGAACGAAACAAATGAGCCACAACATGTCATATACATGATCTTGGGAGGCATCGATGATCCACAAAAACCCATGATCAGAAGAACAAAAATATCCATCACCAGAGAAAAGCGAACACGAGGTTACATACCCGAGGACTCTCATATTCAGCGACGAGGACTTCGAGACCTTGTCTCAGCCTCATAACGACGCACTGGTAATCTTTTTCCTTGTAAATACATTTTAAACTAAATGTGTATTTGTGGATCCAGGTACCTCAGCCAACAATATCAGGTCGAGGGTGGTA